AGAGAGGGAAGAGAGAAAGAGAGAAAGAGAGAGAATGAAGAGAGAAGAAAGAAGGAGAAGGAGAGAGAGAGGGGTGAGAGAGAGGGAAGAGAGAAAGAGAGAAAGAGAGAGAATGAGAGAGAGAGAAGGAAGAAGAGAGAGAGAGAGAGAGAGAGAGAGGGGGCGGGTAGAGAGGGAGAGTGTGAGAGAGAGAGAGAGGAAAAAGGAGAGCGCGTTTGTCTTGCGCACTGCTGCACTTGGCGCCGAGCATCCACGCTGCTGCTTGCGGGTACGGCGCGGCGCTCCCACGCGCCACTCAAGATTAGGCATCTACGCCTCGCGGGGGCCCCGTACCGATAGCGATCTTAAGTGGCACTTGCAATAACATGATTGAGTTGTCGAATGGAGGCTTATTAGAGAGGAAAACGCTGCGAGCCTGCTCTGCGGAACCGCGTGGAACAGCGTGCAGGCTGAGTCATTCACTCGCTGCGTGCACGCGGGTCACTGTAGCGAGGAATGTCATGTTAATGTTCAGCTTCGTTTGGAATCGGTAAGATTTCCTTTCACCGTGCTTGAATCGCCATCGTCATAGCGAGGTTGTTGCTCATGATCGATGAGTCACTGATGGCGCTGCCAATTACAACTACAATTTACAACTACAATACTACAATACATATACCTACAATTACAAAGTACACGAACCTTCGCGCGCGTGCAGATCTCAGTCATGAGGCGTCGACTCGCATCGCGCAATATCTGTCTTGATCATCTCTCATCTCTGTTCTCAGCGTTAATGTTCCAGCTCTCCGTCATGGTTCTTGAACGCTATGCCCTCATCAGCAGTATTTGGGGTTTGCTATCATTTTGCGGGTGGTAATTTGGAGGTGGGGTACGAATACTGAAGCACCGCGGCATGTTCTATGAGGTCGAGCTGTCTGACTTCTCGTTTCCAGTGTTTCTAAGCTCTGGTGTCTTTGCTTGAAGATCAAGGTTAGGTGTATACTGACTGCTACATTGCGAGTCTGATGGCTGCCTATATGCTGATGAAAGTGGGTTGATATCTTAGTGAGATGTGTAGGATAAATACAAGAAGAACGAATAATGATGTACGTGTGAAGGCCCGTCTCCACAGGTTCGAGATTCCGAGGTTTCAGGTTCGTGATAACCAGAATCTGATCCGTAATTGTAGTTGTAGTTATGTATTGTAGTATTGTAAAGTTGAATTGTAGTTAAACGGCGTGCCTCCGATGCAGCGCCATCATGACTCATCGATCATCAGCAACAACCTCGGCCATGACGATTCCATTCCGACAAGTGCACGTGGAAAGGAAATCTACCTGAGCGTGGAACGACCGTGGCGAGGCAACAAACGTCATTCGAATGCAAGACCCACCCAGCATTCGGCACTTTCTCCTCACTGCGCTGCGGGTCCTTGCACTGCGTGGCTCCTAACTAGCGCGACGAACCCCGTCAGCCACACCGGACCAACTGCCGCTACACGCGATATCCGCGCCGATTCCAAAGATCCCGCTCGTCAGGCGTGTCCTTCGTGCAATTAAATTACGCAATTATTAACGATGGAAATAACGAACGTCTGCTGCTGCTCAGAAACATTACGACGCAGCGCCATTCCGCTTGCAGTGCATATCTTTGCACCGCGTTTGCTGATTCCGCCTGACGGCGGAAAAGCGAACGAGCTTCATCTGGGGTTTTTTTTCGTCCGCAAGCGTGAAAACATGCGACGTAACCCTTTTCCAAAAATACGCACCCCAGTGCGCGATGTATAAACACGCGGTAGTAGTTTTTTTACCATACATCCTACACGTGTAATATCGGACGGAAAATGCCGGTCCGCTGGCGTAGCCGGAGCGTTAGCTAGGGGAGCGACGGAAATACGCGCGGACCGCAAAAAGCCGCGATCTGTGCCCAGTGTAACATTAACGCCGTGTTATGTTCAAGCCGCGAGGATGCGTGCGATGCCCTATCCATCCGTAACGTGCGCGCGGGCAGACCAGGCCAACGGCTTCCCCCCTCTCTCTCCTCTCTCTTCGTCTCTCCCGTCTCTCTCATCCTCTCCCTCTCTCTCTCGCTGCAGCGGCTCTAACTCTCTCTCTCTCTCTTCCCTTTCTCTTTCTCTTCTCTCTCTCTCTCTCTTTTCTCTCTCTCTCTTCCCCTCTCGTTCATCTGTCTGCCGCTGTGTGTGTCTTTCTCTCTATCTATCGTCTGTCTTTGTCGTTCTGCCTCTCTCTCTCAATCCCTCTGTCCTGTCTCCTCAATCTCTCCTGTATCAATCTCTCTGTCCTCTCGCTCTAGCCCTTGGAATCGCTCCTTCCGCTCTCTTCCTCTTCCTCTCTCTCGTCTTCGTCGCCACCATCCTCTCTCTTCTCTCTCTCTCTCTCCTCTCTCTCTCGTCTCTCTCTCTCTTCTCGCTCGCTCACCCTCCTCCTCTCGCGACGCGAGCAGCGAGCATTACTGGATTCCTTGCGCCGTGACAACCGACAGTAGCAGGCTCTCAAGACTCTCCACTTCGTCAAGCAAGTTACAAACACGGGCGCATTACGAGCATCTGGCGAATTCCGAGCGCGCGTTTTCCGGCCGAGCAAGTCAACAGTAAACAGCAGCAGCGGCAAGCATCAGCCAAGCATCAGCAGTAGCAGCATCGAGTAGCACAAAAACCAGCAGCAGCAGTAGCATCAGTAGGCAGCAGCAGCGCATCAGTAGCAACACAGCGGCTGCATCAGCAGCACTCATCGTAGCAGCACATCAACACACAGCCAGCGGCTTCAGTTGTAGACACCAGCAAGCACCACCACACCACCACACCAAGCAGCACAGCATCAGTAAGCGAGCAGCAGCAACAGCGCACAGCATCAGTACAGCAGCATGTAGCAAGCATCAGTAACAAGCAGCAGCGCGGCAGCAGCAGTCATCAGTTGTAGGCAGGCAGCATTTCAGTAGCAAGCAGCAGCGGCGGCCCCTCAGTGTAGCAGCAGCATCAGTAGCAGCACAGCAATCAAACTACTACTACATAGTAGTGGTAGTACCAGCAGCACAGCAGCCAGCATCATAGCAGCAACAACAACAAGCAGCAGCAATAATCAATAGAGTGTATAGTAGTAGTAGTAGTAGTAGTAGTAGTATTATCAAGTAGTATTGTAATTAGTACGTAGTATAGTATAGTAGTAGTAGTACAGTAGAGTAGCAGCACAGCCAGCAAAACAACAGCAACGGTAGCACACACTACCAGCCGCATGCAGCAAGCATCGACCAACCGCGCATCAGCAGCAGAGCTGGTGATGATGGCGCTGTGGTGTTGGTGATGGTTGGTATGGTTGGTGATGGTGATGTGTGGCGCTGTGGCGTTGTTGATGGTGTTGTGAGGTGGTGATGGGGGCTTGAGTGCGGTTGGTGATGTGTTTGGGAGGGGTGATGTGCGCTGTGGTGTTGGTGATAGTGTTTGGTGATGGCGGTGATGGTAGCGCTAGGCGTGTTGGTATGGTTTGGTGATGGTGTGATGGTGGGCTTGTGGGGTGGAGATGGTGTTTGTGAGCGGTGATGGCGGTGAGCGTGAGGGTGGCGCTTTGAGGTGGTTGGCGAGGTGTTGGTGATGGTGGTGGATGGGCGCTGTGGTGCTGGTGAGGTGTGTGAGGTGGTGGGATTGGGTGCGCTTGTGTTTGTGGGTGTTGTGATGGCGGTGATGTAGCCGCTTGAGTGTTGTGAGGTTGGTGAGGCGTGATAGTGGCGCTGGTGTGCTGTTGATGTGTTGTGATGGTTGGATGTGGCGCTTGTGTGTGGTGAATGGTGTGTGAGGCGGTATGTGGCGCTGTGTGTTGTTGATGGTGTTGGTTGAGGTGGTGATGTGCGCTCTTGTGTGTTGGTGATCGGTATTGGTGAGGGTGGCGCTTGTGGTGCTGGTGAATGTGCTTGGTGATATGGGCGCTTGTGGGTCGTGATGTGTGGTGTGTTGGTGATGGTGGCGCTTGGGGTGTTGGTGATGTGTTGTGGTGTTGGTGATGTGGCGCTCTGGGTGTTGGGATGTGTTGGTGGTTGGTGATGGGTGGCGCTGTGGTGGTGATGTGTTGGTGTGTTGGGATGGTCGCGCTTGTGTGTTGGTGATGGTGTTGGGGTGTTGTGAGGTGGCAGAAGCCGCCGTCGCCGCCAGACTTCCCACTGGTCCACACTGTCCCTGCCACGTAGAAAGAAAGCTGGCTGGTTTCTCTGCATGTGTGGTGTGGTGGGTGGGGGGAGGGCGTCGCTGCGGCCTGGGTGCAGCTTCCTCACGGAGTCAGTGCTAGACCGACCGCTCTTGAGGTACGTTGGTCCGCTATCCCACTCCCCGTTTTCAGCTCTTCGTGAGCACCGTTTCAGGGCAAACCTCCCCTAACCACCTCCGTTTTTGGGAGATTCACCGCTCGAACCCTCATTTGTGCTCCGGTAAACCTCACCGCCCTCTCGTTCATTTGCTGGACATCGGCGCACATATAACTAATCAATATTCAGTTATGTATGTATGTTGTATGTCATGTATTATGTATGTATTATGTATGGTATGTATTATGTATGTCAGTATCCTATGCCCGGCCAAGTACCGCCAATCGATCTGGATGCAGAGCTTATTTCAGAAGGCGAATCCTAACCCCGGGAGGTGTTCCTAGACGAACATTCTTTTAAGTTAAAAAAAATAAAATAATAAAATTATATCATCAATAGATGACGTGCGTGACAGATTACACGGGCACGCTCGTGAAACCATGTGCATACCCGTACGCACAATGGCGTAATTCGCTAAAAGAACATCCGTCTCCCTACAACCCAACGTGCCGGGATTTATCCGGTTCGAGTCCCCACTGGGAACTTATTGCTGCCCCTCTTTTTCTTTTTCTTTCCGCCGACCCTCGTTAACCTACCTCTTGTAGTAGTATTATTTTATTTTTAATTGTCTTTAACCAAGCTTTTTGATTTTACTACTTTTACTTGTGTGGGATCGGGATGGGAGGGGATGGGAAGAGGGAATGGGGATGGCAGAGCAGTGGATGGCATGGCTGGATGGCATGGGATGGATGGGATGGGATGGTAAAGGGAATGGGATGACGAGGGATGGTCGGATGGGCTGGAGGATGGCATGCCATGTGATGGAATGGGATGGGATGGGATGGGATTGGATGGCATGCGATGGCATGAGATGGGATGGCATGGCATGGGATGGCATGGCATGGCATGGGATGGCATGGGATGGAATGGGATGGGATGGGATGGGATGCGGTGTGATGGGATGGGATGGGATGGCATGGGATGGAATGGCATGGCATGGCATGGCATGGCATGGCATGGCATGGGATGTCATGTGATGGCATGGGATGCGGTGGGATGGGATGTCATGGAATGAGATGGATGCATGCATGCATGGATGCATGGATAGATAGATAGTTAAATGTTTTTGGCTATTTTCCTTTTAACCAAGAGGTCACCAACTAAGTAACGCCACTGATTTCCCCGGGCAACGCCGGTTATCCCGCTAGTAGCGTATATGCGAGAGCATACACAATCAGTTGGGTGCTATTAAAATTTTCGTTAACTCCACTACCGTCAGCCGCTCTATATATAGACTGCAGATCGATATTAATAGACTAACGGAACTTTGGACGATATTAATAGAGTGCGGATGTTTGGATTTAGTGTTAATTATGAACTTTGGAAGCGGGTTGCTCTACAATTGCGCGCGGTAAGCTCATGGCTCGCCATGTATGACAGCCAGATATAGCTAAATGACAAGCGAGCATGATGCTGCGCGGCCGACGTAACTTCTTCCCGCATCCCGGGCAGATTCGTGCATCCTCGGAGAGATTTATGGATCCGTATCCTGCATCCCTATACGAGGCTCACTATACATCTCTATAATAATAATGCGTTCTGCGTTGCTATATAGTGTTTCCTTGCAGCCTTATGTAATGCTTCATGCATTCCAAAACAGTGTTTTCTGCATTCCTGCATATTGTTTCCTATATTCATATATGTTGGTTTCTCGTTCAACTTTACAGGGTTAGTAGCAGTAGCAGTAGCAGTAGTAGTGGCGGTAGCAGTAGCAGTAACAGTAGCAGTAGCAGCAGCAGTAGCGGTAGCAGTAGCAGTAGCAGTAGCAGTAGCAGTAGCAGCAGCAGCAGCAGCAGCAGCAGCAGCAGTAGTAGCGGTAGTAGTAGCAGTAACAGTAGCAGCAGTAGCAGTAACAGTAGCGGTAGCAGCAGCAGTAGCAGTAGAGGCAGCAGTAGTAGTAGCAGCGGTAGCAGCAGCAGTTGGTGATGGTGGCGCTTGTGGTGTTGGTGATGGTGTTGGTGGTGTTGGTGATGGTGGCAGAAGCCGCCGTCGCCGCAGATCTTCACGTTTCTCATCACTTCCCTGCCACGTAAAGAAAGCTGCGGGGTTCTCTGGCATGTGTGTGTGTGGTGGGTGGGGGGAGGGGGTCGCTGCGGTCCTGGGGTTGCACTTCCTCACGGAGTCATTGTAGACCGAACCGGCTCCTTGAGGTATCGTTGGTCCGCTACCCACTCCCCGTTTTCACCTGTCGTGAGCCGTTTTTCAGGGCCAAACCTCCCCTCCCCACCTCAGTTTTTTGGGAATCACCGCTTCGACCCTCATTTGTGCTTCCGTAAACCCTCCCGCCCTCTCGGTCTATTTCTGGACATCGGCGCACATATAATCTAATAAATATTTCAGTTCGTATGTATGTATGTATGTATGTATGTATGTATGTATGTATGTATGTATGTATGTATGTATGTATGTCCCCTATGCCCGGCCAAACCGCCCAATCGATCTGGATGCAATTTTCAGAGGGCGAATTCCTATACCCGGGGAGTGTTCCTAGACGAATTTTTTTCAAGTTAAAAAATTAAAAATTAATAAAAATTATATTCATCAATAGACGGCGGTGCGTACAGATTAACATCACGTACGTGTGAATCCATTGTGCATACCCTTAACGGCACAGTGGCGTAATCGCTAGAACATCCGTCTCCTACACCGGGATTCCGGGTTCGAGTCCCAGCTGGGGAACTTATTTGCCCCTTATTTCTTTTTCCCCTTTACCTACCTCTTTAGTATGAATTATTTTTATTTTTAATGTCTTTTATCTTTTGATTTCTTATTATCTTTTACTGTGTGGGATGGGATGGGATGGGATGGGATGGCATGCGATGGCATGAGATGGGATGGCATGGCATGGGATGGCATGGGATGAGATGGGATGGGATGGGATGGGATGGGATGGGATGGGATGGGATGGGATGGGATGGGATGGGATGGG